ATATAAATGAATTAATAAAGCTTTAGATTTTATTTATTTTTTAAAGTTTATATTTTACAAGAGAGCGGTAGTGCTATTATAAGATATCATAATTTCCTCATTTTATTCTCACTTTTCCTAGAGCTTCAATTTTGCCTTAAAGCTCACAAAGTAAGATTTGATCTAAGTAGATCTTTAGGCTAATATTACTAAAATACAAATTATTACTATTAACAACATTATTAACATTGTTATAAAAAATTCACTAACTCCAAAAACTCTCGATTTCTTTATCTTTCATATCTAACAGGGTATTACTTCCACTCCTTCATCTATTTAACTCTTTAGTCCGTTACTTAAAACTTCATCCATGCCCCAAATCTCGCTTATATAATTATTTCAACTACGATTTGGTTCAACTTACCGGTGTGAATGTAGGTGTGCTTCTTCATATCACTCTTTTGATGGAATCGCTTGCCGCAGTAGCTGCAGGGATAAGGCCTCGTGTCGCTGTGGATGAGCAGATGGGTGGAGAGGGTGCTGGAGCGCTTGAAGCGTTTGCCGCACTGTTTGCACTCGAAGACCTTTTCCACATTGTGCACCGCCCTGGTAGAAGAAGCAGAGGAAGAAAAACCGTTTAACGACATGCAGCATAAACAAGCTGGCGGCTATTTGGTGTAATTAAAGCCAAGGCTCGAATTCCCTGGAGCCGCTGCTGAATGCTAAATACAACCGCAAAGCAAACATTTGGCCAGGCCAAATCCAACATTTCAGCTAAATTAAGTAACGCAAAACTGTCCCTGGCCTGGCCCGGCCCCTCATTAAGCATGCAAAGTGTTCCCCGCTGCAGTGGGCGTGGCTCGGGGGCTATGGGGCTGCAGGCCAGAGAAGTGGCTGACCAAATGCCTGTGGCAGAGCGCCGTATGCATACCTGTGCTGGCTGAGGCTGACCTCATGGCCGAAGGTCTTGTTGCACAGCTCGCAGGCGTAGGGCTTCTTGCCGTGGTGGGTGCGGCGCGAGTGCACCTCGAGTCCGTGCGGCGTGGAGAACATCTTCTCGCACTTCATGCACGAGTACAGGTCGCTGAATTGGTGCAGGCCCGGCCACTTGGCCGCCATGTGATGGAAGTGCAGATGCGGCGGATGCGACAGACCCAAATGACCGCCGCCGGGTGGCACGCCCACGCCGACGCCAACAGCCGCGGCTGCTGCTGCCGCTGCGGCGGCCGCAGTGGAGCCATTTTGGCCAGCAGACTGGAGTGGCACCATTAGGCTGCGCAGCCGGAAGAGATTTTCCTGTGAGTCTGGATGATAGCTGCAGAGGTGAGACAGAGAGGGAAAGAGAAATAGATGGGGAGAGAGAAAGAGTTAGAGAATTAGCTCAAGTACGCACTTAATTAAGGACAGGTTGTTGGGACTAATAAGCACACTGAGAGAAATTCGTGTGACTATAAAATATTAAAAATTTTTTTTATATAATAAATTAAATTAAATGCAATAATATATATTTCGAAAATGAAGTACATAATTTAATTAGTTCAGTATTCATGAATACCAAATATAATCAAAATATTCAATCAATTTAATTAATAAAATATAAGGAAAATATAGAGTAAATGAATGAAATATATATACGGAATATAACAGAATTAATTGAATATAT